AAGTTATTAACAGAAATTGACGTATGCATGTATGCATGTGGGAGGGAGTATCAGCCCTCATGCAGACACTGCGGAATTGGGGCGTCAGTGAAGTATATATAAACATCCTGGAAGAAATCTACAGGGGCTCAACTGCTACCATAGTGCTTCATAAAGAAAGCAGCAGAATAACAATCAAGAAGGGTGTAAGGCAGGGGGACACAATCTCCCCAATGCTATTTACCGCGTGCTTACAGGAGGTTTTCGGAAGCCTAGAATGGGAACAGTTAGGGATAAGAGTTAATGGAGAATACCTTAGTAACCTGCGCTTCGCCGATGACATTGCATTGCTGAGTAACTCAGGGGACGAATTGCAACTCATGATTACGGAGTTAGACAAGGAGAGCAGAAAGGTGGGTCTTAAAATGAATCTGCAGAAAACGAAAGTAATGTACAACAACTTCGGAAGAGAGCAGCGCTTCGAGATAGGCAGTAGTGCACTTCAAGTTGTAAAAGACTATGTTTACTTAGGGCAGGTAATAACCGCAGAGCCGAACCACGAGATTGAAGTAAATAGAAGAAAAAGAATGGGGTGGAGCACATTTGACAAGCACTCTCAAATTATGACGGGTAGATTACCACTATCCCTCAAGAGGAAGGTGTAGCAGCTGTATCTTGCCGGTACTTAGCCACGGAGCGGAAACAGGGAGACTTACAAAGAGGGTTCAGCTTAAATTGAGGACGACGCAGCGAGCAATGGAAAGAAAAATGGTAGGTGTAACCTCAAGAGACAAGAAGAGAGCAGAGTGGATTAGGGAACAAACGGGGGTTAAGGATATCATAGCTGAAATCAAGAAGAGGAAATGAACATGGGCCGGGCATGTAGCGCGTAGACAGGATAACCGCTGTTAATTAAGGGTAACTAACTGGATTCTCAGAGAAGGCAAGCGAGTTAAGGGGAGACAGAAGGTTAGGTGGGCAGATGAGGTTAAGAAGTTTGCGGGTATAAATTGGCAGCAGCAAGCACAGGACTTGGTTAACTGGCGGAACATGGAAGAGGCCTTTGTCCTGCAGTGGACGTTGTTAGGCTGATGATGATGATGATGATGATTAACAGAAAATGTGACGCCCCACGAGGCTTTTGTACTCGCTCGCTTCGGGCGTGGCCTGCAATCCACGTGCTCCAAGCTTTGCTCACCCCAGGATACAGACCGCATGGCTTTCATCCCAAATGAGCAATGTTCTTGAAAACAAACTACAAAAAAAGCACTTCCAAGCAAAAAAAAAAAAAAAAACTGCTCAACGTGCTGACAAGTTTAAACACCTCTTAACCGATCTCCTCGCTCTCGACAAAGCACACCGCCGACGCTAGCCATGGAAGTCCCCCTAAGCCTACTCTACCCCGGCTCAAACAAAGGCTTGTACCGAACCGCGAAAACTCGTCCGATGCTCCAAGAGCCCCATATTGGGCGCCAGTGTAGGGTATCGAAGTGGAGAGAGTGCCACACTCCTTGAGTAAACAGACACAGTAGACGCTGTAGAACCGAACCAAAACAACACACATTTATTTGACTGCTTTATAACGACGATAGTGTCAGCTGAATTATTATGACATCAATTGTGACCAACACGCTAAACAACCTTGCACAATAAATTATACATGACTCAAAACATAACGAACAGAAGAACACACACAAGGCGGCTTCGCCAACGCCCGTCTTACCACAAGGGCCTACAGCAGACAGCCCGTGGTGTCGTTAGCTACAGCCCGCGGTGTTTGGAGCGAGCAGCAACCGCTCGCACCAACCGCCAAAAGAGACCCGCTTATCTCTCCCACGCCGCCTCCAAGGCTTGCCACCAGGCGTCACTGCTGGTGCCACCGTTCTTACCATGACGATGATGGGGGTAATAACCGCTGGCGAGCACTCTGCACCCTACTGCTCGATAGTTGTCACCTCTAAATGCGGCTTATGCGCAAGACAGGTGTGCTATGAAGGGCAAACTACTTTAAAGGGGGTGTCAGCACCCCCACAACTTGTAGCTTGCAAAGCTAAAATCGGTTTCTAATTTTCCACATTTACTATCAGCACTGCATGCTGTTTACAAATGAATGAATAAACATGAACAGTCTTTTCATCTCTTTCTTTAATGCTGTTTTCGTAATAAGGAATCCATACCAATTCGCCAAATGTCAGTCCTGCTGTTTTTCTTTCTTGGCCCAGAAGTTATTAGACATGGAAACTGCACCGAAAAGGCATATGGCGAGTGTGAACATGGCATATTTTGATGTGCACTACAAGACGAAACTTCTCTTTGTTTCACAGAGCAGTCATTGTGCAGGGTGCTCATGATGACATGCATGTGCGTGCTAAACACTTACGACGACAAAGTTTGATTTCCATGCGGTATTTAGCATATGATAATCACTTGTTACAGAACTACCACAGCCTTCACTCAGCACATTAGAACGTCGGCTCTATTATCATTGAAATTATCGTTTAATGTTGCCTGGTTGAAAACGCTTGATTTACTCAGTGATGCCTGTTATTAGGGTTGTGTAATGTAGTATTTCCATGCCTCTCCGCGGTGGTCTAGTGGCTAAGGTACTCGGCTGCTGACCCGCATGTCGCGGGTTCGAATACTGGCTGCGGCGGCTGTATTTCCGATGGAAGCGGAAATGTTGTAGGCCCGTGTACTCAGATTTGGGTGCACGTTAAAGAACCCCAGGTGGTTGCAATTTCCGGAGCCCTCTACTACGGCGTCTCTCATAATCATATGGTGGTCTTGGGACGTTAAACCCAATCAATCAATCAATCAATTAATCAATCAATCAATGTAGTATTTCCGTAGCTTTACCAAAACCTCTAGATTCAATAAAAAAGGATGCTGTATCCCTGAAACCGACAGGAAACTCTCTACAGATATGCTTAGGTTTGGCATCACTGGCACGGACATCAGCCTTTGTACTCCCGAGCAAGCCGGCCCTCTCTCTTTATTGAAAAAGTCTGCTAGGAGTAAGCGCTCACAAGGATTGTCGAAGCCAACACAAACTCGTGATGCAGGTGGTGGTTGCACACAAAAACCAAAGGTGTGTTTCGTGTGCCGTGCTGCGGCACTCACATTAAAATTGATTTTAAATATGTCCTAGGCTGTATTAACCATTGATGTTTCATAAATGATGCAAATGCGTCCCCACAAATCTATGCCACTAGTTATCTTGCCTTAAAATTTGTGTCAGTACTCCTTCGAAGGATGATGGCGGCTCATTAGAATGCTGCCTAAAAGTTGGGCAATGTTTGTTAAAAAAATGCCTTTGAAACGGTACATAAGGATAGCAAAATCAGTGAATGCTTGATCAATTCAAAGTGCATAAATAATTGAATAATCAAAATTAGTTTTTGTATTTCAATTAATCAATTAAGATATTTTGTTTTATTGATAACAGCAATCGTTGCCCTCACCCCCAACACCGCTCCTTGGCGGGTGAGCACGAGAGCAAGCTGAGCGATGCAGACATGCAAAAATCGAACACACTTAACCTTTTTCACTTCAACACGCATTTGTACGCTAGTAGAATGAGCCCAATGCCGCCTGCGGTATTGGGATCATTACTTAATGTATGTTTAATGTATGTAATTTACTGAATGTATGTGTACTTAATGTACTTAATGTTCGTGCATGTATATGTATGTATGAGTGTATATTAAGGCAATTGATATCCTAGCAAAATAAAATTTCAGGTGAGGGTTTCATCTCCACAACCCCTCCTTTCTCTCTTTGTGTATCTGTGTATGTAAATATAATAATAATAATAATAATAATAATAATAATAATAATAATAATAATAATAATAGTTTCAACCAGTGTAGTCGCCGAACATGCCTCCGATATCGGTGCACTCGAGTAGGCAGGCTTTGAGGAAATATGACCTGCTGCCAAATCGTCCGTGGATGAGGGCCACATATCCCTCATTTTATCATATCCCCAATACATGACAGTGCACCTTTACCCACTGGGCGAAAGTACTACTTTTCACTAAGGCACAAATGTGCACATGTGATCTCTAGTGCGTCTGATAGAAAGACTTCGGTCTAGATAAAACAAACGATTCTTTCACCTTTGTTGATACAGTGCACACGAGAAGATGACAAAGAATAAGAAACACAAAACAGGCACTGACAGGTGCGCTGGAGCAGGCAGGCTAGGAGACCAGTATGTTATTCTCAGTCCCCCTCTCGTGTGCTGTTTGTCAACCAAGATGAACGTATACCAACTCAATCAAGCATCCATTCTTAGACAAACAATGCTTGTCAAGCAATGGGATACCTTTTTAAAGCACTCATAAAAAAGTCAATTCATCGATTATTGTACCAAAGTGATTAATTGATTAAAAGTTTAATTGGCCACTCCTAATGGGGCAGTGTTCAGTATATATCAAACAGATCACCATAAGTGTGTTAGATATGCATTACACCACCCCTTCTGTATTTCCAAAAGAATTTTTAATGATTGGATTGCCTAATTGTTTATAGGTGTGTGTCCAATCAGCATAAGGTATTTCATAATCATTGAATTTGAGAAGTATTTGCTCTGTTGTTTAGTTTTTAGCTCTATAATGTGAATGTTTTTAATTAGTTGAGAGTTAAATTTCTTTTTATGAGCATAAAAAGATTTTCTTCGTCTCGGTTTGAACAGGTTTGATACCTAAGTACAGTGTTCTGAAGGTAAAAGAAAAATAGAGGCTAGATCAGGTCACATAGATTTTTGGGAATAAAATTATGGCATTAAAATGTAGGAATTAAGGCAACTTATGTAAAAGCTGTCATGCTAATTGTTGGGGGCTAGTTAGTACACACAGAGCTTCAAACAACATGTCAAGACGGGGCAGAAAACAAAAAGTTGTCGCTGTTCACAGGGTTTGGCTGATCATGCTTGTCCACATTTTCCCATCATTCTAAGGCAACTGCCTGTCAAGCATGTTGTGTGTCAGTGCTTACTGTAGCCCCCTCTGTTTGTTGCAGAACTAAGGGTCTGTAGCAGCCAAGATTCTAGGCGATCATTTAGAGGAGGATCCAGGGAACACGACAGGTAAGCAAATCAGTTTGTGGAATTGATCGGAGCCTGCTCTTTTGTAATATGACATTTGATTGTTGAGGTACCATAGTTGCCAAACTCTAGTTCACCCCCGAATGTAATGTGCATTCAATTTTCTTAGCGGATAAAATGCCCCAGTTGTAATGCACATCATGGTCTAAATTTTCGAAGCCCTCTACTACGATGTCCCTGATAATCACATTGTGGGTTTGGCATGTAAAACTGAAATATTCACGTGATAGTGTCTAAGACCTCGTTTTGCGAAAAATTAAGTTTTTGTGTCAGCGTCATTGCTTGTGAGGAAAAAATCGGTGTTATCCATGAGCTAAAATTCGAGCCAGATAAAAATATAAAAATAAAAAAAAATATTTGATTCGACTCTAATCAAACATTTTTTTCCCTGATTCTCTCTTGAATCGAGCCCTTCAGGACTACTATGTTGTGGGAAAGTGTTCCACCACAGAGCCTTGCCCTTGCTTTAAATTACTTTAAACACAGAAGTGCAACAGCTTTGCCAATTGCACCAATTTGATACAATTCCCAACTTTTCTGCCAAGCTCTGCCATGGCCATGAAATTTACCGAAATTGTGCCACACAGCACCAAAATGCCCGACCAGTCTCGAATTTTTTTCAGTTGCTCTAATTTCAGCAACAAATGAAGGCCACGTTGGCTACTTGCAGTTCTCTTCAATTCAATAGTCCTGGTGCGCAGACCTTAACCCTAAACTATGGTGTAAGATATTACTTATTAGACCAGGACATTTGCGAAGTGCAATCTGCCAGATGAAGTAAAAACACCGTGCGCCTATTGGTCCTCTGACAAAGCCGATATTTATCAGAGGGATGACGCAAACTCAAGAGAGAAATGCGCGACTGCAGCCAGCACTACGCGGCAAATATGAATTTCCTAGTTCGCGAACCCAAATATGACATGCTAAAAACTAAAGCTTGAGGGAATTGAGGCTAGCCCGCCACCTTTGCGCGGGCTTTTCCGCCTTTTCTGCCGTTCTCATGTCCCGACATGACTCCCCTCCTCCGCTGTCTGCCGCACTGGGAGAGCAAGAAGGGCCGTTTTAACCCCTCTCACTTTGTAGCGGATGTCGACTGTGGCGCCGGGTGCGAATCTCTCGGGACGTTTCGCGCGCACGCGTCAGAGAGTGAGTTGGATTCTCTGGGACAGCTTACAATGAGCCAAGCATTCACTTTTCCGTCCATCGACTCCCATTGCTCAGGGCTCGGCGGACTTCGCTGACGGCGCCTCGAACGCTAATTTTTTGTTGCCCCTTTGCGTATGCTTGGCCGAAGGGCGGTACGGTGTCCTAGTGCGTGGCTAAGCTACGTTGACCCGTCTCACTTCGAAGCCAACGCGAGCGCCTTTGCCCTCGCTCGAGCAACCGAGCCTTGGTCCCGGTGTCTCCGTGAATCAATTTTAGCACGGAGCTCGCGGCACCCCTGTGTAGTACTTCTCACCTGTGGCGTGGATAAGCCCATTTGCTTTCCCGCCACGCCTTTGCAACGGCCTGTACTTCGTTTTGGTGTTGCCACAGACAATAAAGTGTTGCGACCTTGAGCAGTATCATGTTCTCACCATGGCGACGGTTAACGCGTGCCCTGTGGCTCGCTAAGACCGGACCCACGCTAGTGGCCATACTCCTTCTGTATACGTGTCACTACAAGCTGGAAGCGTATGCCGCTGTTACTGTGCGTGAACAAACTCGACGTGCTGCAAATGTTGACGGTGCCAGCAACCTCGTTAGTTGACATAGTTATGGCACGTACGATACAATGCAGTGCCATCACGGGGCCAGTGGGCGTGTGCCATTGTCGCTTTATGTAGTCAAATGCGCCTTAGAAGCAAGTCGGGAAGTTGTTCCCTAAACCTAACCCCACCATGAAAAAAAAAAGGGGGGGGGGGATAGTTCGAAAATTTGTTGGCCTTGTACTAACCTGTGCAGAATGCCGCTTATCCCACCTTCGTAGCAGTACACTGGTAGCCTGAAGAAAAAGCGTTTTAAGATTTGGGAGGGGCTGTTTGTACTAGTTACGGACACAGTGCAGTTCGTTCAGTGGACACTTTGCAATAATCTGCAAGGTGGCTTTTCTGTAAGGTTTGTTTTTCAACCAAGAACTCTCTTTCACAGACTGCTTTTCTCACTCCCTGTGTTTTTGCCTTTCCCCTTTTGGACATTTTGTTTTACTCACGTGCTCACTTGCCTTCGCTGTTATTTGAAAAGGCGACATTTTTTTTGTACGCGTGTGCCTTCGCTGCAATTTGGAGAAGTAAAAGCACAATGAGTGAGAAAAGCAGTGTGTGAACGAAAGTTTTTCGTTAGAAAACAAGCCTTACAGGAAAGCCGCCTTGCAGATTATTGCAAACAATCCATTACTCATGCGTGTATACGTCGCATATTCGTGAGTACTAATAGGATCGCTGATGTCTAAACAAGTTGCTGGCAATTATTTAGAGCACTGCGTGACATTTATGCAGCCCTTAAAAGCTAAAAAAAAGCTGTGTATGTTTTTTTCTCGCCACTTCTACTCCTTAGTTTGACGAATCTCCCAAATCTCAAGGTCACCTGCCTGGCAGATCCACATCTGACTTCTCGGAGTCTTTTAAAGGATTTGATAGGTATTTGATAGGGGCACTCTAGGTATGATATGCACACTCTAGGTGCACTGATAGGTACTTGAAAGGATTTCATAGGCGCACTTTTGCGCCCCCCGCTGGGGCGTCTGCGTATGAAGGCGTTTGGTGAGTAGCGACACCACGGACCCGAGCTAACGGGGTGGGGGGGGGGGGTGGGGGTGGGGTCTACTCCCTCCCATGCCTAGCTGTGCATGGCTGAGCCGTGTCCGGGTAAAAGGGGATCCTGGGGGTTGAGCTGACGCTGGGTGCTTGGACCTTTAAGGCCCCCCGGCAGAGGCAACACACCCCTTTGGCCCCGGCTTCACGTAGTTGGCACCCCTGGGCTGACCCACCCAGGGTAAATCGGCAGTCGCCTTTTCCTATCTCTCTCTCCCTACATCTTCGTCTTTATCTCTCACTTTTTATCTGTCCCGTCATTTTCTCTTTTTCATCTACTTCCAAATTTCCTGGTGGCAAGTGTTAAACTTGTGTGGATACCCAGTCTTGGCTGTTCCATATTAGATTATAGCAGCGCTGTACAGCTGGCGTTGACAGGGCTTGCCCAGCATCTCCTTCCACGTCCCCTGGTTGGGCTCGGTGGTGGGCGGCTGGCACCGCTGCCGAACACTATAGTCAATTTATAGCAAATGCTTCCCCCCCCCCCCCCCCCCTTCCTGGTCGCTCCCTGAAAAGATGGTGCACCGAAGACACGTTCATGCTCAATACACTAAAACCAACCTAAAAGTACCATGTTATTTATAGCCAGAACATGTTATTCATAGCCAGAACAAAAAGAAGACAGTACGTTCAATTTCACCTTAACTTGTGTTGAAAACTCTCACCGAAGCAACAGGTCCAGGCTATGAAGTCACAAAGATGGGAAGTGGCGATCTCCTTTGGAGGTTCGTGACAAAGCTCAATATGAGAAGCGGTCTAAACTTGTAGCGTTTGGAGAAACCCCTGTTTCAGTGGGCCCGCACAGCTCCATGAACACTGTCCGAGGCGTTATTTCTGATGATGACCTTGAACTCTCAGAAAGTGAACCATTAGAAGGCTGGCAAAACCAAAATGTAGTCACGGTACAGAGAATTATTATACGACAAGACAAAAAAGAAACACCCACTAAACACATAGTTGTCACCTTCGGTACTAGTGACTTACCAGAATCACTTGAAACCGGCTACTGTAAGCTCCGTGTAAGACCATATATCCCCAATCCTCCTCCATGTTTCAAGTGTCCACATTTCTAGCACGGATCGCAGAGTTGCAGAGGGCGAGCCACATGCACAAAGTGTGCATCCACTCAACACATATCGGACGACTGTACCTCAGAAGCAACTCATTGTTCGAACTGTGAAGGAAATCACCCTGCCTACTCATGATCATGCCCCTCATGGAAAAAAGAGAAACAAATAGTAGAACTTAAAAATCTGTCATTCCAAGGAGCATGTCAACGGTTCGCACTACACAACCAGTCTTTTCCCTCCTTTGCCGATGTGATGCGCCAAGGCCCCACGCCATACGTTTCTGCACCTGCGAATGTCACACAGAGTGTGGCCGCGGCAGTGCCACCAGCGCCCCCGGCTGGAGCAGCCTGTACTGCTCCGCCACCTGACAAACAGGGCTGGCGGACCACCGTGTCTGCTGAACCTCGGACCACTGCAAGCGCAGTTAGGTCCGAAAATTCTGTGAAGGTGCCTGCCGAGCAGGCACCACCTCACAAGAGGTGATTGATACAAATCCCACTCCTCCGGCGCCTCAAACGCCGAAGGATAGGCGCATCTCCCTCGAGTGGGCCAAAAAAGAAAACCCCGAATCACAAGGCCCCCAAAAAGCCCTGTAACCTAACGCAACACTTTTGTACACACAGCACCACACAACAATAAAATGTCACAAATACTACAATGGAACGTCAGAGGACTGCTGAGAAACCTCGACGATATCCAGGAACTTTTACACAAACATACACCAAAAGTGCTGTGTGTGCAAGAAAGACACTTGAAACCAAAATTCACTAACTTTCTACGCAATTGCGTTATTTTACGAAAGGACCAGAATGATGCCAATGTGCAACCCGGTGGTGTTGCCATAATAGTCAATCAAGCGATTGCATGCACACACCTATCACTACAAACATCTCTTGAGGCGGTGGCTCTTCAAGCAGTTCTTTTAATTAGGCTCGTCACCATCTGCTCTCGATACATACCTCCACAACACTGTCTTGAAAAGCATGACTTCCAGTCCCTCATAGACGAACTTCCGCAACCCTACCTTGTCCTAGGGGACTTAAATGCTCATGGTAGCCTCTGGGGTGACTCTCGCTGCGATGTGCGAGGTCGCCTGATTAAACAGTTCTTTTTTTCTTCC